GCTCAGAGATTCGCACAGAGCAGGCAGGCGCTCTGGTTTAAAAGAATTAATCTGCCAAAGACTGCAGCAGCTCTTCAAATATTTTAAAAGGTCTATAGACATTGAAATTTCGCTACAGGAAGTTAAATTCACACTAAAAAAAAAATAATAAAAGTTAGGGAATGCATCTAGAATTCCAATTTAATCCCCAAGTTAAAACTGTTCACTGCACTCCCAAATAGTACATGCAAATAGCACAAATAAATGTCTGTATAGGCATCCTTTATGTAGGTATTCTTGTTTTTAAAAAATACTTAATTTTCGTTCGACAGAGTTAGGCTTTCTTGTGTGTTTTATCAGCAGAACAGAACTGGTTTTGTTGACAAAAGCTGTATTTACATTATCTTCAAATTTTTTGGAGTGGGGCAGATACACATAAGATAGATGCAGAAGGTCCTCTCCTTGAGAAATCGAAACTCACTTCCTCAGTAAGGGCCTGTAATTTACAAAGAACTACTTGCATTACTGAATTTGGACTGATTTTCTACCAGGGAAGGGAAGTGGTGGGTTATTTAGAAAACTCCATTCCAAATACAATCTGGGGGAAATCTGACATTTATACAAACACGTGCAAAATAATTTTTTAAAAAGTTAAAATGCTCAAAACTCCATTTTAAAATCTCTCTTACAAAATTACCAAAACTGGGAAAAAATTCCTCTTAAGGAATTAGATGATTTTAATGCTTCCTGGGAATGACCTACCTACTTGACATTTCTTTAAAAGTAGAAAAAGTATTTACCCTTCTCACAAAATTGCCTCTAGATTGCTCAAAAATTTTGGTGAGCTTTCCAATATCCTTCAGCTAAAAACCAAACCAAAACACGGACTTACACACCACCATCAACAACAACAAAATAACAAGAACCTATTTAGTGCTACTGCCAAAGAAGAAATGTCTTTTTTTTTTTTTTTGGTAAGATGTCATTGAATGACATTTCTAGAACAGCAGTAAAAAATGAAACATCCAATGAAAAAAATTTACCTGCAATGTTCTACAGTTTTGGCTAGCTGTGTTCATTGCAGGATTATTTCTCATACTTTAATAGACAATTACTTCTGACTGTGGTGCTACATTTAGATTAGAAGCCATGATAACTTTCAACTTTTTTGTGACCATGGTTACACAATTAAATGTTTATTTGAATAATTGAAAGGTAATAACATAAATAGTGGCACATATAACGAAAATAATCGGTATCTGCCTGTATTTCTATGTGTATTAAACAATTTTTGTGTAGAGAATAGTAACTTATGGGAACATTTTATAGTTTTCAAAGAATAATCATATTTTAATTTGATAATATATTTATTGCAATGGTTAGCATGTGGCTTTTCTCCAAAAAAGATATAATTTTGTATATTGCTTATGCATCTATACAGCAGTTCCCCCTCATAGAATTTGCCATCATTTTACTATGCTCTTTGATGGTATATGGGAGGAGGGGGATTTGCATAAATGCCTAATGTGAGGAAATCGTAGGTAGGTAGGCAGATACACTCGATTAAACATCAAACGCTTCCTTGGTTGCAGCGATATTTACTTTATCTGACAGTAATTAGCTAAACTGACTGGAACGAAAACCTATTACTAGTCGAGCACAACTCCAGGATTTCAAAGATCCTCTTTTCCGACAAGACAATGCAAATGCCCCAGAACACGATCGTAACTGGATACGCGCGTCGGAACCAGATTCCACATTCTGATAAGTGACTCCCGAGAACCCGGCTACTGTAGTGTATCTACCGCCCTGGCATTGTCCTCCCGGACACCGGAGCGAAGCTGGCCTCGCACACGCTCACGACCGTCCGGGCTGCGGGCGCGGGACAGGCAGGCTGCCTAGATGGGATTGACCTGGTGGGCATCCTTGGCAGGAAACTCCGCTGTAGCGGAACCAAGACTGACCGAAGGAAGCCTGAACCACCAGGAGGAGGGCATCTGGAGACGACCTAAGCCCCAGCTCAGATCATAAGGCCAAGATCAGCTTTAGGTAGCGGGTAGAAGTCTCCCGCCCACTAGATCGGCCCTGCGCAGGGTTAGGGATGAGAAGAGAAAGGGGGGACAGGGCACTCTAGGCCGCTGTGCTGCCCACGCTCTGGATCCTCACGCCTCCAGCCCGTCGGGCCCGAACTATGTCCCTTGGGGGGCCTGCCGAGGAGCAATTCAGTCAGAAGCTGCAGGAGAGAACCACTCAAGCCTGGCACAATGTACCTGGCGGGGTAGTGGTGGCAGTGGGTTTGGGGGAGAGCGGACTGCGCGGGCCTGCGAGTGGGGAGGAGACAGCTTTCTTCGTACTCAGTGAAGAGGCAAGCTGGTGCACTCCCGGCAGCAGCAGCAGCGGGTGTGTGGGCGTGTTCCCAGCGCCCCTGGCCACGGGTTCTAAGATGGGGTTTCTTAGGGATGGATTTAGGGAAGGCCTAAGAACGAAGAGCTGCGGAGAAGCAAGAGAATGTAGCAAAGAGAAATGCAAACTTCAGTTGGAAACTGGGGAGAGAGAGTTTCGGTAGCTTTTGTCTTTTACTTTTTTTTCTCTTAAAATCACTCGAAACAACAAACAAAAAAAAGAACACCACCCGAAGAGGCGGAAAAAATTGGGAACCAGAAACATTCTCCGAGATGGTCTAGCTCGGGGGGATGGGAGTGGAGGAGTGGGGTTGGAGCGCAGCTTCCTTCTTTTAGGCTTGCCTGCCAATGCGACGCACACCCACTAGGACCCGCACCCCACAGTGCCGTGCACTCACCCCCACCTCTCTCTGGATCTTTTGCGCCCGAGGGGTTGCGATCCGCTGCAAAACCAGGCGAATTCTTCTCTGCAGTCCCTGGCCTGGTTTGGAGACGCCGGCCCCGCCTGGGACGTCAAAGTCTCAATGCCGAGAAGACAGGCACCGGGCGGCCCTGCGGCTGAAGAATGGGTGTACCAGCGCAAGGCCCTGCCCACAGAGGGTCTCCCCCACCACCCGCCGGTCGCCGCCACCCTAAGTACTCCCGGGTGCACGTGGCCCGCGCCGCATCCCAGCTCCCCGGGCGGCCTCAGAGGCCGACTCCACGCACCATTTCCGCTCCCTCCTGAACAGCTCCGCCTCTCTCCCCTCCCGCCTTTCTCTCCTTGGCCTTGGGCACCCACAACTCCCAACGCCGTGGGGCCCGCAGGGCAGCTCGCCACTCTCGCCGCCACACCATCCCGTGTGTGCCGCGCCCGGGGGCGTTGTCCACAGTCCCCGCACCTTCCACCCTCCCCTGCCAGCTGAGACCGGTCTCCCCCAGCTCCACCATCTTGGCCGCCAAAAAATGTTTGGGGCAGCCAGGGGCGGATGTCGGGCGCCTCGGTTAGGCTGGAACCGGTCTCTGTATTTTTCAAGGCCAGTGCTGCGCCTGGGTCTTTCTGTGGGCCTCACAGTAGCGACCACTGCTCCTCACTGGCGAGGCGTGGTGGCAGGCGAACGCCTATTGTGCGGAAGATGATCCCCACCAACGCAGAGTTCCCAGAACGTCAGGGGACCCCACAGATTCGCCCAGAAAACACCCGGGGGCCGCATGAGGGCGCCAGAAGACGTATGGGTTGGAGAAATTAGAAAGACACCTCCAAATGTAAAGGCCTAGATCCGGGGCCCCGGTTTCAATATGCAGAGAAGAAGGCCTCCATGGCTGGGTCACCTCCCTTGTGACAGATACTGCTCTCAAGACCCTACGAGGCCACCCAATGTGTGCAGCACTCCAGCCACGCCATCACCAATGCAGTCAACAAGCACTGATGCAGAATAGTGGGAGTTAAGGTGTACTGAGCACTTGACATGTGTGGGGCCCTGCACTAAGCTCCTGACATGTTTTGTCATTTATCCCTGGCAACCACCCCTGAAGAAGTATTACGGATTCCTTTTTGTAGACAAAGAAACTGCGGCTTAGAAACGCCCAAGGCCACACACCGACTAGGTCAGGATTCGAACCAAGACCTGTCAACCAACCAAGTTCAGTAACAACACCATCCTCCTGTCTCTCACATACCTGCTTAGTGCGGCAGCTGCAAGAGCTACAAGGACAAATGCAACCGGGACCCTCCCCCCCCCGGAGGGGGGGGGCTCATAGTTTACCCTGGGCCGGCAATATCTAGTACTAGGTGGGAAGTGATAAGTGACACGAATGTCCTTTACTAACATGCGCTGCAAGTTCAGATGCAGGAGAGATGACTTCCGGCTAGACGGTCAGGGAGCGCTTCCTTGGAGGAGGTGGTATTTGAGCAGAGCCTTGGAGAACAGCTTTCCACTCATGGAGACAAGGGCAGGGAAGACATTCCAAGCGGAGGGAACAGCTCGAGCAAAGTCAACAAGTCGGGAACAGACACGTTGCCCATCCACTGGTACACAAAACATTCCGTCTTCTTGGGAATCCAGAGGCCGGTATTTACAGGCCAGGAAGTTTTCTTGCCCTGCAGCAGCTGGAAAAACCACGCTCCTGGGCCATCTTTCCTGGCAGTTGGCTCGTGGACAAGAAGCCTCCCGAACTGGCGTGGCCGGGAAGGTACGGCTAGGCGGGGCGGGAATCGGTCGTTCGGGCACCCGGGGCAGTGCAGCCTCGCCCACAGCGACTTGGGACTTCGCGACTCTATACTAGTCCTTTATTTCTGGTAGCGCCACAGCACCCCACTCCGTGGATGCGGAGGGCGTGGTCCACATGAGCCGGAACCAATGGGGAGGGAGGCCGAGGCGAGAGCCCCGCCCCGACGTGACGCACGACCCCCGGACACAGGCTTCGCGGCCCCGGCCCCAGTCCCTGCAGTGGCTGTAACAAAACCCAGACCCCCAGGTCCGGGCCAATGGAGGCGATTTAGACTGGAGCCGGACCGCGTCTGTCAAAAGCCCGACTCGGCAGCAGCGGCAGAGTCCAGGAGAGCTGGAGCCGCAGCGCCGCTTCCCCGCCCCCGCCGGGATTTATTGAGTATTTGGACTGGACAATTAAGTGGCCCTGATGATGTTACCAAGCCCGGTCACCTCCACCCCTTTCTCAGTCAAAGACATTTTGAATCTGGAGCAGCAGCAGCAACAGCACTTCCACGGCGCGCACTTACAGGCGGACTTGGAGCACCACTTCCACTCGGCGCCGTGCATGCTGGCCGCCACCGAGGGGACGCAGTTTTCCGACGGAGGAGAGGAGGACGAGGAAGAAGAGGGCGAGAAACTGCCCTATCTGAACTCACTAGCCACAGCCGACGGCCACGGGGCTTCGGGGCTCTGTCCCCAGAGCTTTGTCCACACAGTCCTGCGAGACTCGTGTAGCGAGCCTAAGGAACATGAAGAGGAGCCCGAGGTCGTGAGGGACCGGAGCCAAAGTGAGTAGAGGGGGAAAGAAAACGCACCCGCACATCTGGAGCAATGGCGGAGCGCCCGCAAACAGCCCACAAACCTTGCCAGCCCTGCTTCCCGCCCCTTTAACCTTTGGCTGGGGTCATGCCTCACCCTGGTCAACGACAGCTCCGCAAAGCACAGGTGCCTGCGAGGGAGCCGGGGCGGAGGGAGAAGGACGAGGTGACCCCGACAACTACTCCTCCGGGACAGGAGAGGCGATGCAAGCCCCCGAGGGAAGGGAAAGTAGTTCTTGCTGCCCTGACGCTGATAAGCAACACGGGCTCAGCTGCTGGATTCTGACAACTCACGGCATTTTTGTTCTTCCCAAGACCCAGAGAGACAAGAGCTCGAATCTCTTCCTCTTTCCCCCTAGGGCGAGACGAGGTCTTTGAGGCCGGGACAGCCGTCCCCTCTTCTCCAAAAAGACGATCCAGGCAGGTTGTGTTGGCAGGGCGCAGGAATTTTGGTAGAGACCAGCTGGGTGGTTTCCTCACTTCTCTGCTTGGAGTTCAGTGTCCCGGCACCCACAGCACCCGGCGGAGAGGGAGGGGATGGTCGGGGAGTGCGTGGGAACACAGTCCATTACGCGCGTGCATAGCATTCACACCCCTGAGGCGCTGGCCTTTTTTGAAAATTCATAACGTTATGCTTTGTGTCCCGGGCTGTGGGGCTGCAGGCCGAGTGAAAAACGCGAACTTAGTCCTAGATTCCAGCCGCTCACATGGGATGGGAGGTGAACTGGGTAGGGAGATCGGATAACTGAATAAAGCCCCCAGGGAAGTGTTTGTTTCTGAGGGGAGAGAGTCAAAGAATCTCTTCCCCAAGAGGAGGTTTGATGTGGCAGCAGCCAAGGCCTATACTCCTGACACTTCCCCTGGGCCTAAAATCGACACGAAACGGTCTAAATCAGTCCATCAAATTTCTTTTTCTCTTTAAGGTAATACAGACATCGTCAAGCGGACATTTAGCTGGAGGCATGTTGTCTTTTAAAAGCAAAAAAAAAAAAAAAAAAAAAAAGTTCCTAGGCAATACAGGAGCGTTACACTCAAGCATTTCCGAACAGAAAGATTTATTCACGCAACTCACGCCTACTGGCCCCCAAATACCAATATGCTTCACACCTTCAGCTATCCGTAAAGCAAATGAGTTTGCAAATACTCTAGTTATTATGTAGCTGCAAACTTTCGTCCTGAAAATAGTCATTAGCACGCCGAGCCGCACATTTAATTATCTCTTTCTTACAGATGCTCAAATTCTAAATAAACCCGCACTAACTAACCCTCCCCATGGAACGCGCTTCTGCCCGCTACGGGAGTTCTGAGGGTACTTGGGCTGTCGCAGGGTCTCATGGCGCCAGGAACCACAAACTTTCCAGAAAGTCCAGGCATTTACTACCGCATGCTCCGCGCTGCCACCAAAAGGGCCACAGTGCTCTGGGATAGGAGCCGCGGTTAGGCGGGGAACTAAGCTAAGGGACGCTGTTGTGCTTCTTCCGCAGAAAACTGCCAGCTGAAGAAGCCTCTGGAGGCGGCCGGAGACTGTAAGGCGGCGGAGGAGAGCGAGAGGCCCAAGCCACGTAGCCGCCGGAAGCCCCGGGTCCTCTTCTCGCAAGCCCAGGTCTTCGAGCTGGAACGCAGGTTCAAGCAGCAGCGGTACCTGTCGGCGCCCGAGCGCGAGCACCTCGCCAGTAGCCTGAAGCTCACGTCCACGCAGGTGAAGATCTGGTTCCAGAATCGCAGGTACAAGTGCAAGAGGCAGCGGCAGGACAAGTCTCTGGAGCTGGGCGCGCACGCGCCTCCGCCGCCGCCGCGCCGCGTGGCCGTGCCGGTGCTGGTGCGGGACGGCAAGCCGTGCGTCACGCCGGGCGCGCAAGCCTACGGCTCGCCCTACAGCGTGGGTGCGGGCGCCTACTCCTACAACAGCTTCCCCGCCTACGGCTATGGGAACTCGGCCGCCGCCGCCGCCGCTGCCGCCGCCGCCGCCGCCGCCGCCGCGGCCTACAGCGGTAGCTACGGCTGTGCTTACCCGGCGGGCGGCGGCGGCGGCGGCGGCAGCGGCGGCGGCGGGGCTACCGCGGCGGCCGCGGCCATGCAGCCCGCCTGCAGCGCGGCCGGAGGCGGCCCCTTCGTGAACGTGAGCAACCTGGGCGGCTTCGCCGGCGGTGGCGGCGCGCAGCCGTTGCACCAGGGTGCCGCGGCCGGGGCAGCGTGCGCTCAGGGCACCTTGCAGGGCATCCGGGCCTGGTAGGGACGCGGCGGCTCAGGCGGCGGGCGCCCCACTGCAGCCTGCCACCGCGGGACTGAAGCGCGAGAAAGGCTGGATCCCAGGGCCAGGTCCTCTCGTTAAAAAACAAAAACAAAACCCAAAAAACACATGTCTCGCTCCCCAGGGCCCCGGAACACAGCTCCCGCGAAGCCTGGAAGGGGGCTGAGGGGCGAGGAGGATGCCCGGGACCGGTCGCGGAGACTGTCTCTGAGGCAGAAACTCCGGCTTGGTGCCGGGGAGGACAATGGCCCCGACTCGGGCCCCGAAGAGAGTGCGAGAAGCTGGGATCTGGCTGCCGCTTGGTTCTCCCAGAGCAAGAAGGCCGTCTTTCCCCTCCGCCTTCCAGCGGCCTCCTCGAAATGTCGACAGAAAACCCAAGGACAAAAAGAAAAAAAAAGAAAAGCATGAAGGAGAGAAAAATGCGTGTCGTGGCTTGAGAAATCCCCAAGCCCTACCGACAGCTTTGCCCCTTTTGCGGCCCGGAGCGCCACCCCACAGTTGATTTTCCTTTTCTCTACCGCCTGCCCTCCGCAGCAGATACCTCGGCCTGGATCTCCGGATTGTCAGGGAGTAGAACTCCGCGAGAAAAACCAGCGAAGCAAGATCAAACATTGGGGGGGGGGGGGCGGGGGGGCGGCGGGAGGGGGCTGAACAAATCTGGGAGCTGGTGGGCCACCGGAGGTGTTACCAGGTTTCCTTTCTGTTTCATATTCTGTATTCAGCACATATATCTATAACTGTATTCACACGCCGTGTACACACCCGCTGCCATACACTACAGGAGTCAATAAACAAGGTGCAATATTTCCAAACCATTGGCTACAGACTTTGTTTCGCCCCCCAAAAGTGGAGAGGGATCCTTTAAACAGGGCGGGTAGGGAAGGAAAAGCTGTCTAAGGGAAAGCAATCTTCCCTGGGCGTTCGCAGGCCTGGCCTCTCCTGGGCCAGCCTCGGGCTGCAACTTTTGCGTCCTCTTGGTTTTGTTCATTAATTTCTTTTTACTCTTGTCGGAGAACAGATCGGAGACTCAGGGCCTTTGGAGGTCCCCGGCTTTGTAATCCCCACAAGTTTTACCAGATGCTTTGGCTACTGTTTGGGCCTGCGTTAGACCAAGTCTTAGACTCTGCCCCACCTCGAAGTTCGCCAGGGAAAAGGAAACCTCGCCCCCTGGGCCAGCCGGAGGCGGCGCGAAGGCGGCTCCTTCAGCGGCGGCCGCCGCCGGGGCCTCCAGCGCGCCCAGGGGCGCTGCGCCCCGCCGCGGCCGAATTCTCCCCCTCGGCCGCCCTCCCTTCTCCCCCGGCGGCCGCGGCTTTATACGGCTCCTTGTCACTTGCGGAGAATGCCTGTGCGAGGCCGGTGCTGCCACACGGCCGATTGTGAGCGTGCCAAGGCGGGTGAATGGGGAGGCCTCAGAGCGCCGCGCCATTGTGGGGCCGGGCCTCGCTGAAAGACGGCTCCGGGCCGGGAAGGTGCGGAAAGAATGGCTTTTTATTGGAGTCCCGAACAAAAGGTGTGGTAGGAAGGCGAAGTCCCCTGCGCGAACAAAAACCCCAGCGCGTCGGGATTGACGTCCCCCCCGAGCTCCCCATTGCTTCTCAGAGCGGGGGCTTTGTGTAGCAGTCTGCTCAACAGAGGGACGGAGAAATGCGCGGGGGTTTTGTTCCCCACTTTTTGTGCGCTGGGGGAGGGAGCGGCAAGGGGGGACGGCGGCTGGGCGGGCAGCAAGGAGGGGCGCGCTGATTAGGCCGGCCAGCCGCGGCGCGGAGACGTTCAGCGGGAGTCGGCGGCCTGAATGCAGGGTCATTATTGCTACAAGTTTAGCAATTTCGTCCTTACAGGAGGGGGCGGGGGCTGCTAGGCTGCTGCGGGGCCGCCGGGCTGCGGATCCGCAGAGACCCGGAGGAGGAGGAGGAGGAGGAAAAAGGAGGGGAGGAAGGGAGGGAGGCAGGCAAGGGAATCCTCCAAAACCCACTGACCGCCCAGGATGAGGCTTGGACGGGTCCAAAAAGGCCTAGCGGGAGGCTGGAGAGGCGGCGCCTAGGGGCGAAGACCCTCCCTCCCCTCGCCTCTTCCCCCGCAGAAAACCCCTGGAGTTGAGTGTGAGTTGTAGTGCACTAGATTGCCGGTCCCTCAGCTCCTTGCCGCCAGTTCCCTCCTCTCCTAAGCCTCCCTGGAGCTGGGACAACTCCTCCCACACCCTTATCACCGCCGTGTCCCCCAAGTCCCCTTCCTAGCGAGCCCTCTTCTGAAGCTATTCTATTCCCATGAGTTGCTTAGGCTAAGGGCTGGGGAGGAAATTCTCACTTCCTAACACGTTTCTCACTGCCTGCAGCGTCGGACCACTGATTCATCCATCTATCCATCCAGTAGTATTTACTGAGCACCTGCTAATATATGTTCACTTGCACTGTTCTGGATGCTGAGGATGGTGGAAAAAAAAAACAAAAACCGATGTCCACAGGCTTGTGGAGTTTATTTTAAGGAGTGTGCATGGGGGGAGGGAGTTAGACAACAAACAAGTAAATGTAAAAATAAGTAGATAAATTCTAAAAAGGAACTAGAACCAAGTGCCGAAGGGAGGGTTCTTTTGGAGTAGGTGATCAGAGAAAGCCACTTAAGTTGATACCTGAATGACAGAAAGGAAGCCAGTCCAAACAGGGCTTTGCTGTTGCAACCCCATGCCTCTGCACTTGCCCCTCCCCACGATATGGATTGCCCTTCCACCCCCATCTCTCTGGTGAACTCTTGCTCCCCCTTCAAGGCCAGACTTCTTTCCTGAACCACCCAAGTGGAGGTAATCACTCCCTCATATATGCCACCAGAGTCTTAGGTACTTTCCAGTACCACAACATAGTGTCATGCAAAGATTTATTTGTTTCTTTCACTCCTCATGAGGTCCTAGTGAGGTCATGGGCAACCAGGTTGACATCTTTTTCCTCTGGGACAGATAACACAGTAAGTAGGAGATCATGGGACCAGAGTCCTTAGGTGCCACCCTCCCCAGCACATGCAGTGGCCCCGGTGATGTGGAGCTGCGGCATTGGGTGCTGGTGGCAAGGGACATGCTGAGCTGACTCTTAGTCCACCTGGGCGGGGCCAAGGCACCTGAAATTGCCTGCAGAGACGCACAACCCATGGAGATCCCAGAGAAAAGTCCTGCCTTTGGTACCCTGCAATGCTGCCTGGAGACACAGCTTCCTGCAAGAGATTGTTACCCCTCACCCTCCAGCTCAAAACATAGTAAAGGAGGCTGAGAACTTGGTGATGACCTGATACCCTGGGCACAAAGTTTAGGGAATGGGAGGGACAGGAGATAGGAGATAGCGAGGACTCAGAAGGGGAGGGGTGAGGAGCTGAGATGTGTACGATAAATCTGGGACCTGCAACATTTTTCCAACATTCGCTAGCTGAGGGGTATGGTTGGTGATCAAGAGGCTGCCCTTGAACTCCAGGAGTGCTCACTTCCAATGCTGGATTTCATCACCTGCGCTCTAGGAACCCAAGATTCTGGGAGCAGATGTCCTCGCTCCCCTGGGGGTTTCCTAAGTAAGCAACTCCTTTTTCTCCAACCTAGTCTGTGTTCTGCGGGCCTTGGCCTCTCGATGCTCCCAGCACCAGATCCCCACCTTCCATGCCCGGCTTCCTCCCAGTCCCGTATTAATTTTCCTCCGCTCTGCATCCTCTCCCGTTTCGAAAAGAGGCGTGTGACCGTGGTAGAGGAAACAGAACTGGTTCTATGGGTTGGCTTCCGCACAGTTTGCATGTCTTGAGATACTTAAAGCCAGACTGAACCAGCTCCCTCCCTGCTCACTACTCTTCCCCAGAGCCTGCAGTCTCCGGGTATAAATAGCTCCCATCTCTTGGGCTAAAGGATTTCCTTACTGCTAGTTGCCGGCCATCAAAGGTTGAAAACCCTTGACCAACACAGCCACCTCTCTTTGAGCTCCCCCTGCAGGGGAAAAGACACACCCCACCCGCAGGCTCAAATCGCTGCTTCACTGAATAGTTTTGTGAGCCAGGAGGAAGAGTAAAATGTCTTCTAATGATCTAAAGTGAGACTTTGAGCAGGTGAAGTCATCCCTTTGGGTTCTGGTTTCTGAGCTCTAAGGCAGAGAAGGATAAACCGTATGATTTCAGAAGTCACTTCTGGCTCAAACTCCCCTTACTTCCCTGAATGCATGAATAACGCCTCCCTACCTAGTGACTGGTACCACGCTGGGCTCATGAGGTGGGTAGGTGCTACTGGTAAGAGAGGTGGAATAGGTGAAGACCAGCAATTTTTTCCTGCAGAGCTTAAGCTTGAGGGGGGTTTTAAGTGGTTGGCTCTGGAGTCAGGCTTCCTCCATTCTAATCTCAATGCCACCACAACCAGTGGTAGAGACTTTGAGTTAGGAGCACTCTGAAACTCAGTTTCCTCCTCTATAAAATGGGTATAACGCTTCTCTCGTATGTTTTTTCTTTTACCTAAGCAAAACGCACAAATAATAAGTGTGCACTTAAACGAGTGTTTATATATGTAAACACTTATGTACCAATCACCTTGCCTTTGAAAATTAAATGAGGGGATCCTTGTAAAAGCAACTTAGCACAGTGTCTGGTATGCCTCAGGCCTTGCACCACTACTGTAGGCCAGGCCGGCGCTCGCAGCCTTGTTTGCAGAGAAGCCCAGGACTCTGTTCTGCCTTTGCCGCACTCCCAGGTCCGAGGGGGAGCGCGGCCCCAACGCGGCGGGCACGCGTCACCACGGGCAGGCGGAGCCCAGCGGGGCCTGCAGAGCTCGGAGAGCTTCGCGGGGGCTTGGACCTTGGCGGCTTCTGGGGAATTGGACTGAAGGGGAAGGTGAAAGGAAGTTCCGGGCCGAGCGGCGACCCCCCTCGGGCTTATCAGTGCGCGGAAGAAAGGGTCGGGAGGGGAAACCCAGCCCCTCTGCGGAGGGCTTCCCCGGGGTGCCGCGCCCCGCTGGTCCCGGGCCCCGCCGGCGT